ATTGTTTGGAACTCCTTTAAACAGGAATCGGGCCAGGGAGAGGGCTCAGTGGAATAAGCGCTTCCCTGGCAAGCTCAAGGGCCTGAGTTCAATCCCTGGTTCTGCCAAAAATCAATCAATCAATCAAACAGGAATCAACCCCGAAGGCCACCACAGAAGTGCTGACAGTCTTGTGGCCGGTACCAAGGAATACCACAGCAAAGAAAAATGCACCCTAGCTATCCTAACACTGAGGACGTGGTGCCGCACACCTGTAATCCCAGCGCTCGGAGGCTGCGGCAGGAGGACTGCTGCACTTGCAAGGCCAGTCTGGGCTACACAGTGAATTTAAGGCCAGCCTGTACTACATAGAAAGACCTTGTATCAAGAAGCTAACAAAACAAAACAAAAACCCCACAGCAACACCACTGAGGGAGAGAAGCTACATACAAAAGAATACATGACATGTGACTTTATGTTCCAAGCTTAAAAAACAGATTAGACTAAGGTACTTAAGGCACGCATACTGAGGGCGTGAAGCTGAAAATAGAAGCAAAGACATGCTGACCCTAAGTGCTATGACACTGACTGCAAGCCAGGCGCGGCGGCACATGCCCACCATCCCAGCACTCGGGGAGGCTGAGGCAGGGCAGGAGGACCCCAAATTCTACAGCAGCCTGGGCAATTTAGAGTACGTAAGGTCCTGTCTCAAAATTAAAAAGAGTTGGAGGGAGATGTAGCTCAGTGGGAAGGCCCCCGCTGGAGCCCCAGTACTGAATGCGTGTGTAGCTCAGTCACCTTCTGGTCACTGGGACGCTACACCCCACACCCATGACTCAAAAGGAGAGACTTACTCAGGCTCCCAGCTACAGTCTGGGGCTCACAGGCTGAGTGAGACCGCACTGGGGAGGCAAAGTTGCTCACAGTAGGGCAGGAAGCCTCATCCCACCGACCCACACCTCCAGCCAGGCCTGGCTCACGCCACAAGTCAGCCATCACCCCATAATCCAGTCACCTTCCAGACACACAAGGCTTGGGGACCACTTCCGAGCTAAGCTGTAACTATGTGTGCACTCACAGGCAAAATACAAATGCAGTTATGCCAATTTTTAAAAAAATATATTTGGTTGTTACAGGGTCTCACTATGAAGCTCAGACTCATAGTGATCCTCCTGTTTTCAGCCTCCCCAGCGCTGGATTACAACCTCCAGACTCTGTGGCCAGCCCAGCCCGCCCTGGGGACAGGTGCCTGGGGATATGGTGCCAGGGACTGAACAGCAAGCACTCCCTGCGCTTGCCTAAGCGCTACAGTCCCCTGAGCTATCTCGCTGGCCCCACAGTTATGCCAAATGAGACTGCTCTCAATGATTACAAATCATGAAATTATAAGAAATAAAGCCATGCTGTTAAGTTGAGCTGTGGGGGACTCAGGTCAATAATTTCTGACATTGCCAGTTAAACAGAAGACCCAATGCTATTATGGGCTACTGGACTCTTTTAGAATATTGTGCTGAGTTTACACACCTATAATATTCAATAACGGAACTTAGAAAAAATGGGGTATACAGATGAATGTCCATTTTGTATCTGTGTATTCAAAGTGGTTGGGATAGATATATAGTTACATTCTGTTAATGAATAGAATGATTTGTTCTAATGGTGTTTGTAAATAGGATCACAAGTCCGCATCTTGTACAGCAATTAACCACTAAGAAGAACATATGCAGTGTATTATTTGTTGAAAAATAAAAAAAAAATAAATTAAAAAAAAATGATTACAAATCAAGCGCCCCAGCAGCCTAGCCTAAAGATGAGAACTCTGTCTACACTCTAAGCAATAGCCGAATAGCCGCTTAGTATGCCAGAGCCATTCCATAAACCGGGCCCCATTTATCATTCGCTTAATGAGCGAGCCGGGCAGCCCTGGAGGTTGTCCAGCTCCGAGCCTGGCACGCTCACCCCAGCTCCTCGGCCTCGGCCGGCGGCGGTGTCCGCCAGGGGGCGCCTGCCTCGCAGCTTCCTGGGATGGGGGGATACGGCGTGCTGGCTGGACCAGCGCTCTGCTGTCCCGCCCGACGAGCCCCCGCGGTGTGCCTGCTCCTCCCCACTCTGTTCTCAGAGAATTCGGGAGCTGTGCACAACCTGCTTGAAGGGGAGGTCGCTGTCCCCAGGGCAACCCTTGTGCAGGTTATGTGGGCCCAGAGAGGCTGGCGGAGGAGCACGGGAAGGCAGCTGGGCTGCGCTGGAACGTGGTGCCAAGGGACACCGTGCCCAGGTCTGCCCTGCCTCCCTGACTCAGCTCGCCCTGGGTTCCTACATTTCCAAAGAGAAAGCGAGGTGGGAGGCTCTGGGGTCAGAGGAGGGTGGGAGACAGATACCTGGTTTCCAGGGAGGTCCGGCACCCCCTTTACCGGTCAATGGGGCGCGAGCCTGAAGATCAGTGGCCTTGCCATGGCGCGCGATGAACGTCCGAGAGTCGGTGAAAGCTACGATCCCCTGGGTTACAAGCGACTTTCTCTCTCTCTCTCTCTCTCTCTCTCTCTCTGTCTCTCTCTCTCTCTTTCTCTCCTTTTTATAAATTTTTGAGACAATGTCTTGCTGTGCATTCAGGCTGGTCCTGAACTATGAAGCCAGGCCTGGCCCTGAACTCTCAGCGATTCTCCTGCCTCAGCCTCTAGCATGCTGGGATGATGGGTGCACCACCAAGCCAAGTTTAAGCGATTTTAATCTTTCCTGCTCCCAGCGGGAACAGCATCATCCCTGGGCTAAAGTAGTCTTTAAATAAACATTCGATTGCCAGGCCAGGGATCTAGGTCAGTGGCACAGAACCTGCTTGGCAAGTGTAAGGTCGTGAGTTCAATTACGGGTTTAAAAAAAAAAAAAAAAGAAAGAAAAAGAAAAATCATTACCCACTCACATTAGGAAACAGCCAAGACACAGCTGCAGGTGTTACAGATACAACAGAGAACAAACAACCCCCACCTTCTTGTAGCCTACAACCCAGTAAAGTTCACATTAAGTAACTTAAAACATCTCACAGAATGGGTAATATCTAGGCCGGTGGATGGCTCGGTAGACTAAGCACTTCCCTGGCAAGAGAAACTGGTCCCAGCGGCTACCACCTACATCGGCTCCCTTACCATCAAGATGATTTCTTCACGCTGAATGATCTGGCTGTGGAACTGTTTCCCCATCTTAGTGCGACAAATAAACTAAGGCAGGAGGGGCAGCGCGCTGAGCGTCCCAGGACGTCTTTGACATGGCCGACAAGTGTAGATCTGAGCGGTGCCGTGATGTTCCAGTCAGGACACACGGGGCCTCCAGGACAAGGGGCTCAGCGGCGCCGTCCTTGAGGATGGAGGCTGAGGCACCTCCCGGAAGAGGCGGGCACTCCCGGGCAGAGTAATAGAAAGTCCCCTGACGCCACGCGAGGTTGTGGGGTCCCAGAGCCCTGGGGAGCAGCACCACTATGGAAATGAGCCTTCCTGATTTCAATCACAGCACGTGCTAGGGCTCAAAGGACCACGCCCAAGGGCAGGAGGAAAGATTCAACGGGGGCAGGGGCAGACACAGCACGGCCTCTGTCCATCGGCCGCGCACGCTGGAACCCGGGTGGGGCAGGAAGGGCGATCCTTCTGTTCTCAACAAGTGAGAAGCCTAAGACCCTGCGACTTCACCATAAGCACCAGGCCACCCCTTTTGCTCCACCCCCACTTCATCTGACTCCACAGCAGCATCAGTCACCTAGCAGACTGTGGTCCACTGCGGAGCAGGAGGGGGCGTGGAGGCACACACCCCTGCAGCTCTGAACCACGGCTACGCCTCCACTCTGTGGTCGCCAGGCCCACTTAATTTTTCTTTTCCTCCAGAAAATGGGCCCGGGACAATCCAAAATCTTGAGATCTCTGCGCATTTGGGGGGAGCCTATTCCCCGCATCTCTGGGAACGTACACCTCTACCTGCAGCCACCATGCCATCGCTGCCGGTGAGCTCAGTGCTGGTCAGAGACCCACTGCCATCCTCAGCAGCAGTGCAGAGACCTTGGCAGCCCCGCAGTACCACACGATAGGTCCCCACACAATTTACAGATGTGTGTGGTGCACTTGGGAGCCCCTCACACCCAGGAGGGGGCTACCTTCTCAGGAGCGAGCACATTCCCTTCCTTCCTTCCTTCCTTCCTTCCTTCCTTCCTTCCTTCCTTCCCTCCCTCCCTCCCTTTGGTTCCTGGGTTTTCCTGAGCTAAAACCAAACCTTGAATAAGGCCAATCTTGCAGTGGAGAATTTGACTTCGCCACTACCAGGAAGGACAGGGACACAGGGCTGGACATTTGCTTCTAGAAAGAACGGAAAACTGAACACTGGAGAGCGCTACAGAGCCACCTCAGCCTTGCTGCAGCTGGGCAGCAGGCTGAGTCACTGACCTCTTCCCACTAGCTTGGGCCCAAGAGGCCTGCAGCCCAGACATGCAGGTTTGGAGGGGACAAAAGTGCTGTGGACAGGGATGGGACAAGGCAAGCAGAGAAGACGAGTATCAGGCAGGGGCCCAAGTCAGGCCCCAGGTGCCTCTCAATCAATGCCCTCCTCTTGGAAAGGAAGGCATCCTGGGTGTGGTTGGTCCAGCGACACCTGCAGCTAGAAGCCGTTAGGTGTGTTCTGAGGGATGTAGGGTGTTGGAAGAAAATGCATGGAGCCAGGAAGGCAGAGCACTGGTTGGTCATCAATTCAGTTTATTACCTCATAGAATTTCTTTCTCTTGAGCCCCTTTACTGGGCTTTATCTGGCGCCTTCGCTGTAGGGATGTGGAGGATTTCGAACGCTTTTGCCCACTGCCACGCTTGAAGGGAATCCCATTGGCGAGGCAGTAGAAGATGTACACAGGGATGGGGGAGATGACCACGAAGAGAAGAACAAACATCAAGATCAGCACCCAGGATGGGTACTGTCGAGTAACCTCTGTCGCCTGTGGAGGCAGGAAAGGGGCGGTCAGAGAAGGGACTGAAAGGTACCCCCCTACCTAGGCAGCCTGGAGAGGGGCACTCACACTGCTGGCGTTCCAGGCCAGGTAGGTGATGGGCTTCGTGAAGCACCTGACCAGGATGGCCAGAAATGCAACAAGCAGTACGACTGGAGTCAGGTAGGTCCACACCCAGCTATAGAAGCGGATGATTAAGTTACGCATAGGGACCATGTCTCTGAGAAACCTGTGGTGGACGAACGGGTTAACCAGCAGGGCCTTACCTGGCCCTTGCATTTTTCCAGCACTCCATTATTGCGCTAATCCCTGCTTCCTTTTAAGTCCCATCCTCCATCATGACGCCAGGAGACTACAAGCATCCAGTACTTCCGTGCATCCCACCTCGACCTCCTCTCATCCCCAAGTATGAGAACAGCTGAGATGGCCTGGGGCTTGTAGACACTGGGTAGCTGGTAGTGACCACCACAGGCAAAAGGAGATGCACAATCCTCAGGGAATTTATCCTAAGTTTTTCACCCCCACACTCAGCCTCTTCTAGTACCTCATCTCTAGCTCCATGACTAGGTAAGAGGTCCACTGGCACTGACTGTCCCACTCCTTCTGTCTAGTCAACTGCCAAACTCAGCTGTAGCCCCCTCTACTCTTGGATAGTGACACTAGCTCTCCCTATGCCCGTGGCCTGACCCTGTTACCACCATGGTCTTCCCGCCTCCTGCAGGGAATCTCCCTGTGCTGTCCTTTGAGCTCTGTGTTCCTTGAGAGGAGCTCAAGCCAAGTATCATGCCCCACTCCCTCCCACAAAGCGTTCCTGACACAGATAGTTTCAAGAAGTGTCTGAGTTCATCAACAAGTTGGTAAGTAGAGGAACTGGCTCCAGCAAACGCTGCTGAGCCTCCACGCCCAAGTTGCACCCCTTGGACGCCCACATACGAGTCTAGTAAAGGTCGAGCTCAGGAGGCCCTTGTCTTTGATCTGGGCTCTCCTTCTGTTCCACTCCAGGGAGGCCTTCTGGTCCCGTCCCTGATTATCTTGGTGCCTTTCCTGTTAGCTCTGCCTTCCAAATCAGACTGCTTCTCTCAAGCTGTGCCTTTAGCACCCGAGCCCGAAACACTGCTAGCTCTCATGGAAGAGCACGTCGCTCCAGTCCTTGCTCCGCTTGACTCTTCAGTCTGTCTTCCACATGCAGCCAGAGGTGTCTTTGTAACACATAAGTCTGATGCTACTCCTCCACTCAAACCTTCCAGTGTTAGCTCTCTCCCTCCATGAAAAGGGTTAGTCCTGTCAGGGGTCACAGGGCCCTCACGCTGTGGCCCACGCACTCCTGGCCCCATCTGCCATCCTACTCCAGCCTCAGCCAATTGGCACCTCACACACCCCAGACACCATGCGTCCCCTGCCCCCGGCTCTTCCTGCTGCCCTGTCTGGTCACTCTCTCTCTCTGGTGGTGTCCTCCTGGGTCCATGCAGGAGCCTGCTCACAGATCACTGTCCTAGAAGGCCTTCCCTGTCACCCTGCCAGACTTTGTGCCCCCACACTCCTGCTCTGGCTCATTGCGCCCTACTCTCTGACTTCTTCCTGACACTTGTCTTCTTTATTCTTTATTTCTATCAGTCTGGTGATCACCTATCTATGCCGCCAGAGTGTGTGCTCCCCAAGGACAGAGTGTTTGTTAATTGAACATAGTAGTCTGGTAACTAAAAGTGCCTGGTGTATATGAAAACAAATATGTTAAATAAAGAAACGATAAAATGATTAACCAAAAGACCCTGCCATGTCCCTCTAGTTGGATGAAAGCAAAAGCAACAAGCAGGGTCACCTCCCCCACCGACCCATGAGACCCAGGAGACTCAGGCTAGGACGTCACCTCCTGGCCCCACAGGCCCAGGCCACAGCAATGTTTTCACAGATTATGATGAATATGATAGGCATGGGTGTCCAGTATTCACTCAGCAGTCTGATGAAATAAACACCAGAGGGGCGGGTGAAGTAGAGTCCGCTCAGGAACATCAGCACACAGACGCTCACTGGAGGAAACACTGGATCAGAGGTCTGGCAGGGTGACCGAGGCAAAGCAGAGGTCACAACCCCAGCCTGGCTAAGGCCATCGGGAGTGAGTACTGTGGGCCAAGAGTACCTGTGAGCAGCTTGGTTTGTTGCCTGAAGAAAGAGGAGGAGTCCTGGAGAGGGCCAATGAGGCCCTGGGTAAGTCCTACCATGGTGCTCAAGCCCAGCAACAGCACCATCAGTAAGAAGAGGACAGACCAGAAAATCGACCGAGGAAGGAAGGATGCAACTTCAATAAAGGACAGGAAAGCAAAGTCAGGGCCTTCCTTAACCTGTAAGGAGTAAAGGGAGAGAAGTTGCAGCATCTTTCAATTTAGCAGCAAGAACCAGGGCTGGTGGTGAATGCCTGTAATCCTAGCACTCAGGAGGCAGAGACAGGAGGATTGCTGCATGTTTGAGACCAGTTTGGGCTACACAGTGAGCTCAAGGTTAGCCTCAACTGCGTAACAAGACCCTGTCTCAAAAAGACAAAAAAAAAAAAAAAAAAGGCAACAAGAACAGCAAAAGCAAAGCACAAAGTTACATTCTACTTTCTCTTGAAAATGCTAAGGCTGGGGAGATAGTTCAGTAGAATAAGCACTTGTCTACAAGTGCTAGGTCCTGAGTTCAATCCCTGGTACCACAAAAAAAGAAGAAAAGAAAAAGGAAAATGCTTTGAAAGCCCTGAATCACCAAGAAAAGTAGGTCTTGTCAGGCACAGTGGTGGTGCACATCTGTAATCTCAGCACTTGGGAGGCTGGAGCAGGAGGACTGCCATGAGTTCAAGGTCAGCCTGGGCTACATAGAGAATTCAAGGCCAATCTGAATTACTATTGAGAATTACTATTGAGACCCTGTCTCAAAAAAGAAGACAGACAGACACAGGAACTGGAGTTCAATCCTCCGTGCTGGCCCCGCCCCCAGGGCACACTGAGGCAGAGACTGAGACTGGGTGTGGTGGTGCATGCCTATAATCCCAGTCCTTGTGAAGCTGAAAACAGGAGGGTCACTAGAGTCTAATCTGTGTAGTGAGACCCTGCAGACCCTGTACTAAATACATTTTAAAAATTAAAAGGAGGCCACTTTAAAAAAGAAAAGCAGATCTCCAATCATATCTGACAGGAAAAAAAGTGGATCTACCTCTATTATTCATGGCAGTGGGTCATAGCTGTTGCCAGGGCTGCTGGATACCACAGGGCCTCTGGGATTTTCCCCAGAGCACCAAAGTGACACTGTCCTGCAGGCCCAAAGGATTCTGGGCCAGCCTGCAGCTCTCTGCACTCACCTGCAGAATCCACTCCTCTCTGTTGCACTTGGACACCTTACTGAGCACCAGGTTCTTGATGTTCGGGTTCAGGCCACTGAGCCACGAATTGTAGGTGGAAGTGGGGTCGCTGTGCAGGTTGGCAGGGGGCTGAGCCTCAGGAGGCAGTACTCCCATTGTCACCAGCATCAAGAGCTTTTCCATGTTCCTGGGGGCAGTGGTGCAATTAGACAGGCTCAGGAGATGGCCTCTCCTTCCTGCCTCACCTTGAGAAAGCTGCCTGCTAGCCTAGCATTACTGGGCGCTGACTGCAGAGGAAGCCTGAAAAACAGCCACCCTTGAGACCATGAATTGTTGTGTGAGCCCAAAGCGTTGATGAACATAGACCTCCCAGGTTTTCCGTAATCCGCCCCCACCACCCCTGGGATTTATGATCTGTCCTCTGATGGGAACTCATTCACACCTACCTCCTTCCTTGCTGAGACCAGAGAGTGGAAGGGGGCCATCTAAATCTTAAACCATAGAATTCTGGAAGCACAGTTTACTTGGGCTACATTGTATAATGTTCCCAGGGAGTCCTGCTATGTGGCTGAAAATTAACTCTCTAACTCTCTCCCTAGCTCTCTCT